GGGGGGGGGGGGGCTGATGTTCCGACTCTTGGGAAGCCCTCACCCTTTTCTGAGAGCCAAGCCTCACAAGGATCCTCTCCCGGGCTGTAGGGAAGAAGGTTCTGAACCTGAAGCTGGGTTCTTGTGGGCCTAGACCCAGCCTGTGAGAATCACATGGGACCTGGGCTGGAAACGCCACATTCAACACACCTCTTAAATACAGCTGGGGTTCTGCAGCTAGAGAGGACAGGAAGGGGCCCAGGTCACACAACTAGCAAATGCTGAAGGGACCATGGCATCCTGTCTTCCCCACAGACTGGCTGCCTCCTTCTCAGGAGAAACGAAGTGTGATACTATGATTTATAACAAGTATATGTTTCTGACACAGAGCTCCTAAAACCCTTGGAATTTCCTAAGTGATAAGAACCCTAAAGGTGTCTTGCTTGTTAATGAGGTGACTTTTGGACCCCTCCTAAGGATGGAGACTTGTTGCCAGAGGAGCCAACCATGTGATTTGAGGGTTAGAACTTTCATTCCTACCAGTCCCCCAAACTCCAGGAGGGGAGAAGGGCTGGGGGTTGAGATCAATCGTCAATGGCCAATAGTTTAATCAGTCCCACTTACATAATGAAGCCTCCATAGAAACCCAAGAGGTCAGAATTTGGGAGTTTCCAGGGTGATGAACACATGGAGACTGGGGAGAGTGGCACCTGGAGAGGGAACAGAAGCTCCCTGTCCTTTCCCTATACCCTGCCCTCTGCATCTCTTCTGTCCTTTTATAATAAACCAGTAACCTAGTAAGTAAAAGGGTTTCCTGTGTCTTGTGAGCTACTTTAGTGAGTTCATCAAACAAAAGGAGGGGAACCTCTGGTTTATAGCCAGTTGGTCAGAAGCACAGTTAACAACCTGGACTTGGGGTTGACATCTGAAGTGGGGGTGGGGTAGTCTTATAGGGCTGAACTCTTAACCTGTAGGACCTGACCTATGTCTGGGTAAACTGTCAGAATTGAGATGAATTGCAGGACACTTCGCTGATGTCAGAGAACCCCTCAGCCACATTGTAACTGGGTGCAGAACCCTTTCTAAATATCCTCATGAACCCTTTTTCTTACGCCGGGCAGCTCCCTCCATTTCATGAGCTCCAAGTGTCAAGTTGTGGTTCTGAGGGGCTGGTCAGCCTGGCGTGGCCTCTCCTGAGGGAGAGCTGGGACTGGGGAACTCTTGGGCTGAGCTGGAGAGTCCTGCTCCCCGAACATGTCCCATCCATCAATAAGAACGGGAGGGCACCACAGGAGGCGGGGATGGAGCAAGCAAGGGTCAGGAGGTGAGCGTGAGGCTGGGTCACTGCTCTGCCTACAGCTGCTGGGAGACAGGCACAGCCTGGCACAGTGAAGGGGGGCGATCAGCAAGTAAACAAGTGATCGCTTGGCTGGGCACCAGGGGACGGGGAGAGAAACTCCTGCTCACAGGCGGAAAGAACATGCCACCAGCTGCTGCCCGCCTTGAAGCTGTTGGTCTCCTGCGGGGCTCGCTGCGCCCAGCTGCTCTGAACCCAGTGGCAAGTGTGAGCCCCACAGAGCCAGCCCGCCCCATGGGCTGTGGCAGGGTCAGAGCATGGGCTGGAGGGGTAGGGGCCGGCATGCGTGCAGCAGCCCAGCCAGCACTCCTGCACAGCCAAGTGAGCACTGGCGTGGTCTGTGGTTTGGGGGCAGCTGGGTCTGCAGGCATGGGAACTCCTCCACGTAGTTGCCTGCAACTTGAAGCCACACACCCACACCTGCACCCTAGTAGAAATCTATCTCCAAGGCTACGATTCAGCCCCCCACCTTTTGTTCAGAGGATGAATTCATTCAGAGGGGTGTCCTGTGCCCTCCTGACCCTGCAGAGTGGGGAAGCTGAGTCACAGTGGGAGGTCCAGGGTAGGGACACCTAGAGAGCCACCTGAGCAGCTCCCTCAGTTTCCCCCGCATCAGGGTCTGCCCTGCCTCCTTGGCCAGCACTGCCCACCTCTTTCTCTCCTGCTCCCACTCCTACCAGAGGCATGGTGAGACTTTAAATGACATAATTGTCCAAAGGCCTGAAATAATGGGTTTTGTACTGGCCGTCCTTTAATCAGGGCACACTGGCAGACAGGCTGAGGACCCCAGGCTGGAGCAGCTGCGTGCTGGGTGCAGGAACAGGCCCAGGTCTCCCACGGAGGGTGCTGACAGCTCAATTCCCAGCCCAGTCACAGGCACTGCCAGTTCTCTAGCTGGGAGCGAAGACGTGGCAGGTGCAGCTCGGCCAGAGTCCCCAAGCCACAGCCAACAGTGAGCAGAGGCACTGACACTGTGGAGACCAACAGCAGGGTTGCAGATAGGGTGGGTGGGACCTCCTTACTGCAGGACAGGGGCCTCAGGAGTCCTCTGTGGAGGCCCCCGGGCCAGGAAGCAGGAGTTGGCACTCCATGTCCAGAGTCCCTGTTGGAGGAGAGAAGCTCAGCCAGCCCCAAAGGAAGCAAAAAGTACTTTGGGACCAGGCCTGGGCACAGTCTGTCAGGAAATCCTCTAGCTTTCATTTTCAAAATAAACTCAAGATCCGACCCCATCTTCAATGCCACTACCATGGCCCCAACCCCACCGCTCTCCCTTGATGCTGCAGAGCTTCCCATGGCCTCTCTGCATCAATGCCAAGCTGCTAAGTCTGTTCTCAACACAGCAGTCAGAGTGATGCCTTTACACTATAAACCAGCTGCCTTAAGGTTCATCTGCTGGAAATCCCACAGGGCTCCCACCTCACTCAGAGTTAGGGCCACAGTTCCTGCAAGGGTCCCTCGAAACACCCCATGCTCTAACCCCCTTACTGCCACCCTTATCCCTTTCCCCTCACTCCTGCTCCAGCTACACTAGCTTACTTGCCAGTCCTCAAACACATCAGGGACATCCCCACCTCAGGGCCTTTGCACTGCCTGTTTCCTCCCCCAAGATAACTGCGTGGTTCACTCTCTCACCTCCTCCAAAGCTTTGCTCCAGTGTCACCCATGCAGTGAGGACCTCCTTAACCATCCTTTCAAAAATTGAAAACTGCACCTACCTGTTCCTCTCTACCCACTTTTCCTGCTTTATGTCTCTCCATAGCACTTACCACCTCAAACATACTCTATCTTTTGCTTTTTTTGTTTGCTTCATGAATGTCTCTGCCTTCTAGAGCACTGACACTGTTTCAGCTCCATGAAAACTTGGACTTTCTGTTCACTCCCCAGCATCTCCAACCTTGCCTGGCACATAGCAAGGGCATAATAACTATTCTTGAATGAATGAATGAATGAATGAATGAATGAATGAATGAATGAATGAATGGGCAAATAAACTGGCCAGGGGCTCAGGGGGTGACTGGTGCTCCTTGCTCCTATGGGGTTCAGCCTTGAGCCTGGCATGGGTGTGAGGGGTAGGGATACCTGTGCCAGGCTGCTGGGCCTGAGCCTGGTCTCTCTCCAGGTGCAGCGCAGCCAGTAGGAAGCAGCCACCCCCCAGGACAATGACGAAGGCACAGCACAGGGAGCTCTGCTGAAGGCTGAGGAAGCGCTGCAGGTAGGAGTCGGGGCGCCTGGCCCGCAGGGCGCTGGAGATCTGCAGAGAAGGGAGGCTGGGTTTACCAGGCCCACGAGGCCAGCCTGCAGGCCTCACCACATGCAGTTCCTCCCCAGGCTCTCCCCACCTCGCACACACTCAAGCACACCTGCAGCCCAGCCCCCCACTCGGCCTTACAAGTCCAATGAGATAGGGGCTGCTGGCGTCTCCCAGGGCGTGGCACACCGTGATCTGAAGCGCCTCTGCTGTCCCCCGGCATCTGGGCAGCACCACGGACTGTAAAACACAGAAGCACCAGGGGAGCTCCCCAAGCGAGGCCAGAGAGTGGATGCCCCCCAGTACCCACCTCCTGCTCCCCACCTGCCAAGAACATGCCCCGAGGTGTGCGAGGCTGGCCAGGAGAATAATATAAGGGGGAGTCAATGACCCCAGTGCCTGGGGCCCCAGCACTAGAACGCCAGGCCCACCAAGGCCCAGGAAGACTCTCTCATCGCCCAGGATGGGGGTGCCAGGGCCCCTGCTGAGGCCACTCTTCTTGAGGGTTTGCTCTTAAACTAAGCAGGGACAAGGCATGGCTGTGACAACAGAGATGGGGCAGGAGCCCTCCAGCTCAGGGGCCCAGGAAGCAGGAGTGCAGGCTGGCAGGCAGGGTACACAGCCAGGTGTCTGCTTGGTGGACACTTGGGCAGCATAGTTGGGACAGCTCGGCCCTTCTCTCGGAAAGTTTAAGCCCCACTTGGCAGACAACAGCAGCCTAGAGGCCCACATAACTCCACAGAAGAGGGCAGGGAGGTTAAGAGTATGAATTCTGGAGTCAGAATGTCTGGCTTCCAGCCCCAGATCCCCCGCTCACTGGCTGTGTGACTTTGGGCAAGTTGCTTCACCTTTCTGGGCCTCGGTCTCCGCATCCCCAGTGGGGATAACAGTACCTACATGGAGGACTATGTTCCTTACTGCTCTTAATCTGGTACCCAGAGGCTTCTGTGGTATCAGGTGGAAATAACATCCCATGGCCCCAGGAGACAGATGCCTGAGGGCATTGGAACATGCTGTGCCACCTGCCTGGCCAGCCTCCCCCTCTCGGGTGCAGCTGCAGCATCCCTATTTGTCCTTTGGGGCTGACCTTTGGGTCACCTCCTGTGTGAAGCCTTCTCAGAGCTCAGGGACTGGCCCTGAGTTGCAGCAGCCTCTGCGTGCAGCCCTAACTGAACGTGCGTCCCCCACCTCTGGGACAGTTCCTCCTTTGTTTACCTCCTCCTACCCCTACATTGTCTGGCAAGCAAAGCTCCTAATTTCTCTTGGGGCCCCTGGGGCACAGCAAGGCACCGGGCATGGAGGGGACAGCTAAATCAAGTAGAACTGTCTGGGGACTGGTCCCAGGAAAAACCCTGCCAGAACCTAGGACCATGGCAGGGGCAGGGGGAAGGGGGGAGATTCAAGCAGAAGCCACATGGTCCCCACGGAGCAGCCACAGGGGAGCTTCCCACTCCAAAGCCTTATCCCTGAGACCTAGGCGTCCACAATCTGAGCCCATCGGTGAGTACTAACAATTAAAATAATTACTAACATTTACTAAATGCTTCCTGCAACATTTTATAATGTATATATTTTAATATATATATATATATATATATATATGCAGCCCAGCCACAAGGGAGACAGGATTATTATCCACATCTTATCAATGAGGAAGCCTTCCACAGGGAGGGTAAGTGACTTGCCCAGGGTCACCTAGCCAGTAAACAGCAGGGCTGAGCTTTGATCCCAGGCCTTCTCCTTCCAGTGCCCGGCCTTTTGACCACTCAGCTGCTGTGAGCAAGGAATCTTTCCAGAAATATTTATGTATTTGCTCTAGAACATTTGGAAAATGGAGGGAAGGATTAAAAGGACAAGTTCATCCCGAGCCCTGCAAATAGGTAGAGAGCCTGAGGAGGGGCATTCCAGGCTGGGGACAGTGTGAGCAAAGGTGTCCCTTTGGGAGCAGGAGGCCAAGGACTGGGAGCCACAGGGGGTCTGGTGAGAGGGGCCTTGTGGATGGGCAGGGCAGAGTAGCAGGAGTCACTCTGTGGGTGACTGGCTAGTCCTGGCATCACTTTTTCTGGGTGGTGAGAAAGCTGGGCCTCCCATCCATCACCACAACCTGCCAGCAGGCCCGAGAAGGAACTGACCACAGCTCTGCACCTTCCCCAAGCACTTCCTTCTCACCCCATAATTATGTGATTACTCACTGTTAGTTCTGGGGAAAGGGGCAGGGACTCCTAAAGGCCCGTCCCTGAGTGTCCAAAAAAACCCATTCAGAGTAAGATCCAGGCATGCTGGTCCCCAGCCTCCCCTCCCAGAAGCCCCAACCAGCCACTGCTGCCAGTGGCGAGAGACATAGGTCTCCCCCAGTCCACTCTGGGTCCTCACTGTCTCCATATAGCCAGAGGGCCAAGACTGGGCCCACCAGCAGCTGGAGAGCCCAGCTGGTAATTTTAGAAGTGAGAGCCTTTGGATTCCCAAAAACCCAGACTTGCTCTATTCTGAGACAAATACACCTCTGTTTTTAATTCTTCCTTCTTAAAAGAGCTTTTCCTTATATAGCCTGGGGCATAACCAGCGCCAACCAAGGGCCTACAGAAATTCAGAGTGGCAACCACCAGGTGCAGACTCCCTGGCAGCCTGCCTCCTGCGCTCCCCACTCAGCCCTTACACCCAGACATCCCTGGGAGTGTGAGCAGACAGCTCCCTGGGGGGCAGAAGGCAGAGCAGGGAAGCACTGGGACCGGTCAACAGAACAGGGGGGTGCTAACCCTCCAGGGGGTAGGGGGAATGTGCTGAGGAGGTGGGAGATGAGCCTGGTGGCTGGATTCCAGACCCCAGAGGATATACTGGGAGAGGGGGTGAGCTCCCCTTCTGCCTTACTCCCCACGGCTGGGATGGAGTGAACTGACTTTGGGCCACCCCAAGTGGGGCCCAGACAGGAGGGATGGGAGGGAGCTGGAAACCCCATCAGTAGGTTCGGGGAGGCAGGGCGCTCAGCCTGGGAAGACAGTGTCAGCCTTCCAGGGAGCAATACCCTTGGGGACCCAGCTGGGCTATGGGGAGCTTGCTGGAGTGGGTCTGAGGTGGGTCTTGGCTGTGACGGAGCCAGATCCTTTTCATGAGCAGAGCCACCAGGGCTCAAGAAGGGAGCTCCCTGTCAGAGGTTATGTGAACAAGGGGATGGACTGCACTAGTCAGCATTTCACAGACGGTTCATGGACTGGGGAGCTAGCTGCGCCAGACCAGTGGTCTCCAAGTGTGCTGTGAGGAATATCTGTATCTGGATCGCATGGGAAATTCATTAGAAATGCAAATGCCTAGGCCCCAGCATAGACCCACTGAATCAGATTCTGAGGATAAAGGGCCTGGAAGCTGAATTTGCAACAAGCTCCCCAAACCGATTGAATCAATAAACTTTGAGAACCACTGGACCAGAGAGCCCTGAGGTGTCTTTCCCAGGGAGAACCTGGCTTCTCTTGTTTGTGGATCTGTGGACCAAAGAGAGCGGTGCTCCTGAGGTGGGGCTGACACAAGCCAGTGGGGTGCTCAGGAATATGCGTGAACCGTCAGGTGTTAGCTAACCTGTCCTTATAGCCTGGGGGCCTCCTCACGCCTTGGGTCTTGCCCAGTGAGACCACCTGTGCCTCAAGAGCAAGAACCAGCCTGCAGATGGGACCCTCCTGCACTTCCTGCCATACCCATGTCCCCACACACTTCCTGCCCCTGTCCTGCTCTAGCCCATCCCTCTCCCCTCCCTGCCCCTGGATGTTGCTCCTGCCTCATCTCTGGAAAAGCACCACCACCTTCCCAGAATCTTCTGCCAACTCCAGCTCCCATCCTCTCTCTCCTCAGGCACAGCTTCTTGTGGGCTTGGTCTACACCCCAGGTCTCCTTCTGCACCTCCCACTCCTTCCTCACCCTGCTCCCAGCTGGCATCTACCCCTCCACTTCACAGACCAGGTCCCTGAAAGCTGCCCCTCACCTGCATTTGGCCCAAAGCCACTTTCTCTCTGCCAGGGGACTGAACTCCAAGGACTGCAAGGACTGGCCCAGCTCCCACCAACAAAGTGTCCAAAGGCAGTCTTCACTAAGGGGCTTCAGGAAGGTGGGAAGGCAGGAGAAGGGGGCATGAAGCCTTCCTGGGGTGGCGGGCCTTGCTAAGCTTTGGGGGCCTCTGAGCCAGGGAAGGACCCCAGGGAGCACTACATGGTCTGGATCATGGCCAGCAGGCCCCCTGGGCAGCTCCAGCCAGCTCCCCAGCAGAGCCAGAAGGGTCAATCTATGGCTGAGTAGCCCCACGGCCCTCCCCTTTCCCC